GTTACAGCCTCTTTTAGCTGCTTCACTGTTTTGAAATTTAAAACTTGGTAAAATCGCTGCCCTCCTGCCTCAAATACAGGGCATGTTAATATTTGAGACCTTGTCTCAGGATCCCAACTATCAACTGCGGGGGTTGGGGGCCTCCCAGCATATGGAGGTGGCGCTGTTAGTTGGACACTTACGCCCTCTGGTGATAGAAAGGTGTTAGTAGCAGTCTCCTGTAGAGGTGGTGCTGTTAGTTGGACACTTACGCCCTCTGGTGATAGAAAGGTGTTAGTAGCAGTCTCCTGTAGAGGTGGTGCTGTTGGTTGGACACTTACACCCTCTGGTGATAGAAAGGTGTTAGTAGCAGTCTCCTGTTGTAACTTTCCCCCTGATGGCTTTTTCTGTTTTACACTTTCTTTCTCTGTCTGACTAGCTTGAGAGGCCTTCTCTTTTACTTGAATCTTTTCCTCTGTCTGACTAACTTGAGAGACCTTCTCTTTTACTTGAATCATTATGTCTTCTCCTTCCTCTACCATTGTGTGAACTGAAGGCTTTGGACTAAGCAAACAAGATACGAATGTCCACAATGGCAATGTGCCAACTGGCAGAGTCCCTGGGCTTTTCTTTTCTATTCTTTTTAAATCTTCACCATGATGGTTCCATTGTGATATATTTAACAACTCCTCCTTAAAAAGCCATGGGCTACATTTTTGTATTGTATCAACGTATGCCCTGATTGTTCTTGATTTTACTGAGATGCCTCCTTCCTCTAACAATTTACTTAACACTCTTTCAGTTTGTTTTTTACTAATTTCTGATCCCGTATTTCTACTATAATACAACCCAACAAGATAACGCCTAACAAAACTGAAACAGAGTGAAACAAAATTGGAACAACACAAAATCATTATAATAGCCTCCTGAAATGTCCATCCGTCCTTTCTCCCTATCTGTTCCTCAGATGTGAGCGGTTTTTCTTCCATCTTACACATCTCCAGGGACAGGCAACTTAAAACAAAAGTGAAACAAAATAACAAAAGAAGAATCTTAAAATGGCTACCCATCCTCTCGCCCTGCCCTCAGGGGCGAGCAGTTCACTTACCCTCAGTCGCTCCCCGTGCGAGCCACCAAATGCCGCAGTCTGGCTGGGCACAATCAGGAGCCACTTGTCAAAAGAAACTAACTTTATTTTTAGAACCACACACGACAAACAAAATAGTCTCTCAGGAAAAACCCTCAGAGCCTCAACTGCCACCACCGGCTTTCCCCAAGCCTCTCTCTCCCACACAAGCTTCTCTCCACCTCCCACAATCCTCCTGCTCTTGAGGCCGATTGGCTGGGTCATGTGGGCGGAGCCAAAAAAGTCCCCCAATGAGCAGCTCCGTGGTCTGAAAGGGCAGGGAAACAGTCCAATGAGCATCACCGCAGAGGAGCCAATCAGCTAGATGTTGCTGGGGCCGAGGAGCCAATCAGCTAGATGTTGCTGGGGCCGCTGTGAGCCAATCATCAGCCAGCAGCTGGAAGTTTGCTGGCAGCTGGAAGTTTGCTGGGGCCCCTTTGGCTGTGGCTCTCAACAGATAATGGTTATTTTTCCTAAATGAAATAACATTCTTCTCTCCACCAAATTTTTTTCTGAAGTTAATGGCATTTGGGTCAAGGTTTTATTAAAAGCTACATTTTATAACACTGGCACAAAAAAGTAATTTTAAGCTTGTTTGCACAGTTCTTTTTTTCATTGGAAATGGAATTCATTGCCTTAGGTCTTTTTAAATAGTGTATTATCGTTGGGGCTAACTCTATGCTTGAAAACCAGTTTATTTATAACCTGTTGTAAGTGCTATATTCTGTTTGCAGTTAGGAAATGCAAAATTTTAAGTGATCTCCTAGCTTGTAAGCAAACTGAGATGCACTATCCCTTTTCTATATAAAAATGAGTTAATGTGTCAATAAATCAACTCAACAAGGTGGGTTTAATATTACCCTTTCCTATGTGTTTTATCTAATTCTTTTGGTTGTTAATATGGTGATAAATGAAAGTCAAAATAAATTTTAAATATTAAGATTTCCGATTTATTGATCTTGAATTATGCCACCATGCTTATGTAAAAATAAAGGTGGCACCATGGTAAAACTTAATGAGAAGTAGTTTCTCAGTTGTAATAATTTTGATTTCTCTTTCTTGTGATCTCTCCTTCCCTGTTGTCTTGAACCATAGCAAAAGGATACTACATCTCATTACTATAGTGATGAGGTTATTGAGGTTAGATAAACACATCTCAATCTCTGTTTCTTTGAAAGGTATCTATTAAGTCCTGCTAGGTGATTGACAAGACTAAATAGAGAGAATAAAGGTAAATGTGATTCATATTTTGCACACAAATGCAGAATTTTATAACCACATGACTTCATAGTTATGATCTCAAAAAAAATTTCTCCTTTAATTTTTCTTGCAGTTAATGTAAGAATACTCTAAATCTCTAAGCTTCTGAAGTATTAGAGATAAAATGATCTAATAAAGATGTAGTTTATCCATTTAGCATGTGTTTATTTTTCCTTATGTACTCAAGGTGATTTATTTGTTCAGCTCAGTGATATTGCAGCTAAAAACATTCATTAGCAAAAGGAGAAACAATCTACATCTAACAGAGGAATCAAAAATGTTTCTTATTTTTGTTAAGTTAAATGTTTAACTCTAACACTTTTCTACATACAAAACATAGATTCTCCAAAAATATTATGCCATATGCTGACCAGATCACATTATTAATTGAACAAGGAAGACAGAGAAGTATAACTTTGACGGGCAATGACATTTCTCACATAATTACCCCATTACCTAAAGACGAATGGACTTACTTGGTACAAATGACTGAAATGCTACAAATAGCGTTGGCTGAATATACCGGAGGTATTTCCTATCATTTCCCCAAGGGCAAATTATGGGACATGTTAAAACGTCAACATTTTGTAATCAATAATATTATTAGTGAATATCCTTTAGACAATGTTGTTACTGTGTTTACTGATGGATCAAAAACTAAAAGTGCTTATTGGACAGAGAATCAATATTGGGTTCAAATAACAAACTATCAATCTGTTCAACAAAATGAATTATTTGCAGTCATTCAAGTTTTAAATGATTTTGATAATCAAGACATTAACATTCTTACTGACTCTGCATACACGATGGGAGTAGTTAACAATATATTTACTGCAGTAGCCTATTCTAATAAACCTACTCCACAAAATCTTTTTCTTACTTTACAAAAACTTTTACAAGCTCGTAATACTCGCATATTTATAGATCATATTAGATCACACTCTAAATTACCAGGATTTTTGACATATGGTAATGCTCAGGTAGACAAATTAGTGATGTTCAAAACTCCTCAAGAAGAACATAATCTGTTTCATTCTAAAGCCGGACATTTACACATTAAATATAAGATTCCATATAAACAAGCAAAACAAATTATTAAAAATTGCCCAGTTTGTCGACCTTTACATCTTAGGATTGTACCTTCTGGAGTAAATCCTAGAGGGATTCAACCTAATGAATTATGGCAAATGGATGTTACACATATTCCCTTGTTTGGACATTATTCTTGTGTTCATGTTACTATTGACACATACTCTAAATTTTTGTGGGCTACGGCTCAAATTGGAGAAACCACCCGTCATGTTATTCAACACTTAGTGGAAACATTTGCTATTATGGGAATTCCCGCTATGATTAAAACTGATAATGGTCCGGCTTATACTAGTAAAAATTTTAAAGATTTTTGCAAATTATATGATATTGTTCATCTAACTGGAATAGAATATAATCCACAAGGACAAGCTTTAGTAGAACGTGTAAATGCTATGCTTAAAACACAAATTAAAAAATTAAAAAGGAGGAAAATGACAGATTTAAATATGCACTTGTTTAGACATTTACAAAATCAACCTAAAGCATTGTTACATCAATCCTTATTTATTTTAAATTTTCTTAATCTTCCACAAGGAGAAATATTGACAAGAGCAGAATGACATTTTGAGCAAAAAACCTTAGAAACAGTTCATGAACCAATTTGGATAAAAATTGCAGCAGATGCTGAATGGCAGCCAGAGATTTTACTTTATAGAGGAAAGGGCTATGCTTATGTTTCAACAGAAAATGGACGCCGGCAGTGGCTCCCAGGGCAGTGGATCCAGACCCGTCATAATCAGAATGGCACCAAGGGGGGCACCCTATCCACTACCCCAGCCGAGGAATCAAGATCCTGAGCTTGATGTTCCGGTGGCAGCAATGGCGCGTCTTCATCTTGGGGGCCCGACGTCGTCGACGTCCTAATTTCTCTCCCTTACCTACGTGGGGTCAAATTAAAAAGCTGAGTGGGGAAGGGCAAAAGGTGCTGCAACGAACAGGGAAGAGTTGCACCCCAGAAAATTTATTTCTGGCCATGTGTGCATTATTGACAGTGTCTTCTGCTTCTGAGGTACAAAATAATAATACTCACTATTGGGTCTATATTCCCAATCCACCTTTGCTGGAACCTGTTACTTGGGGAGACATGGATATTACCTTATATACTTCTCCTGCTCTTTTATCTCCCCCTTGGAACAATTTAACATATGAATATTAATGATGGAACACCATTTAATTTTACTTATAAGAATAATAACAGTAAACCTATATGCTTGGGTGTTCCTCCTTGCTTGCAATTAGATTGGCAACATTGGATACTAGTTGGAAATTGGAGTAATAGTTCTCGAACACGTTTACAACGGTTGTCTGCATGGTCCGTCAATATGACCTTGGATAATATAACTGAACAAAAATACCCTATGTTCCCCGAGTGCCCCGATTTTACTTATCAGGAATTGAGATACTCCCCTTTCATATGGCAGAAATGTTTAGGCAAATTTGGAAAGATATTTCAGAATATTATCATGTGGGGTCCTTACGGGATGTTCTTAAAAAATTGTTCAGAATGGAATATTACTACTTGTGATTTATCTTCTACATACAGAATCCCGCCGAAAGAGAGATGGAATGAAACCATTCGGAACGACAAATTGATGGCCTGGGGTGATGGCGGAATTGCTGATCCACGCTTGGCTTCAGTGCAGTACCCTCATCATTTACAAACACATTTATGGAAAATTGCTGCTGCAACTAAACCTGTAATTTTGTCTAATGGCTCTATTTCTGGGACTAGTCAATCTGCTGCTTCTTATAATTTTACTGTATTTAAAGAATATAATATAACCACATGTGTGCCCATGCCATACCTGTTCTTAATTGGAAATGTTACTTTTGATGAGGGAATTTTATGCTTTAATTGTAAATTGTATACCTGTATTAATACATCTGTTTCTCTTCCTCCTGGTTATTCCATTGTGCTGTTACAACAGCGCTCTCACATTTGGCTTCCTGTAAATTTACAAAGACCATGGTCCCAAGATCCTGTAAATACTTTGGTTCTGGAATTTTTTAGACAATTGTTAAAATGTACTAAACGGTTTGTGGGAGTTGTTGTTGCTGTAATTCTAAGTCTTATTGCAGTGACTACAGTTGCTACAGTTTCAGGGATAGCTTTACATACTTCTTTACAAACAAAACAGTTTGTTGAGGAATGGCATAAAGATTCGCATGAGTTATGGCTATCCCAGACTCAAATTGATTCTAGACTTCAAACTCAAATAGATATTTTAAAACAGACAGTTAATTGGTTAGGAAAAAAGATACTCACTTTAGAACAAGAAATTAGATTAAAATGTGACTGGAATTCAACTTCTTTCTGTATAACTAATGTACAATATAATCAAAGCTTACACGAATGGAGTATCATACAAAATTATCTCAATGGTAATGAAACAGCTCAATTAATGATCGATTCTTTACAAAAGGATATATTTGAAATTTTTGGAAAAGGGTTTCAACATGATGATGCTGCACAAATAGCTGAATTGTTTTTAAAACAGAGGGATTAGATCCCAAAGGAATTGCTCAAAGTCTTACCCATACGGCTGGAGGACTGGGAATAGTGTTATGCTTAGTTATTATCCTGTTTATAATTATATATTGTATGTGCATAAGACCATCTCAAAACGCTATATTAACTTTGTGGAAAGCTGTTTTAGAAAAGCAAAAGAAAAAAGAAGGAATTGTTGGGGTTTAAGTGTGCAGAGTTTAGCTCCCTCAGGCCTGACATTTTGCAAGAGTGTGGCTGTGATTTAGGTCAGCTGAGGCAAACCTCAGCTAGGAGGAGGAAAAGTTCTCTTCCCCTTATCGCAAGTCACAAGTTCTGCATGGTTTGGCCAAGAGGAAGAAGCTTCCTGCATACTTATCCTGGGAACAGTACATTCTGAAGAAACAAATGCATCCTCAGAGGAGTAGATAATGTCTACAAAGAACTTCAGGAGGGTACTTATCAAACAAACAGGAACAATCTGAATCTAGCTCTGTGTATCCACTGAGGCATGATATTTGGACAATGTGGGTAAAGTGTTATTGAAGAACTGCTTGCTTTGTTAGAAGAAGTGTATAAAAGGAACTTGCAAATAAACCTCAGCATGCAGTTGCGATTGCTGCCTTGGCTCTGCATCCCCTGTGTCCTGGTTATTTCGCGACCCTTACCCAGGGACCCGAACGCTCTAGACGTTCACAAGTAATAAATTTGGACATGACATTAAGTTTGCTTTGCCATTCCCTTTTCAGAGACTACCCACGTTCTCGTTCTCTCTCTCTCTCTCTCTCTCTCTCTCTCTCTCTCTTTAGTGTGTTCTTTGTTTAGTCTAAATTTCACTTTTAATAAAATTGTATTGCTTGGCTTTTCTTTATTTATTTATTCTTTTTTTTTTTTTTTGTACTGGGAACTCAACTCAGTGGCACATAACCACTAAGGTACACTCCAGCCCTTTTTATTTTATTTTGAGGTAGGGTCTTGCTGAGTTTCTGGGGGCTGGCCTTGAACTTGGGATCCTCCTGAGTAGCTGGGATCGCAGGCAGTGTCACCATACCCAACTTAGAATCCCCTGTATTGATATCTAACCCCTTGTATATCTGTGATGTTGTGAAATGCTGTCGTGTGATGCAGAATGATGTTTGATGTAAAGGATGGGCCACATACACAGGGTGGTTTCCATAAGATTAGGATGAAGCTGAGAAATCCCTACAGCCTGCTGACGTCAGAGCCATTGCAATGCCACAGCACCAGGTGCTGCACCCACGTTGGTGACTTGGTGACGATGCTCATTTCATGTGCCTACTCCATCTCTAGACATCTGGTGAGAGTCCTCCCAGATGAAAGGGAGAGAACAAAGGAAAAGAAGAAAATGTGTGCGTTCCTACTAACTCTGTCGCAACTCCATGATGCAACTCTGTTAGGACTCCGTTACAACTCCTTCCCAACCTTATAATAAAGAATTCCCACTCAGAACCTATGTTCCCATGTAGGGGAGACAAGGGGTTCACATGTAAAGGGGAACTAGTCAGTGCCCACTCACACACACCACCTCCTGGCTGTCAGCCTCAGTGTCTCCCCTCTCTCTAAGAGAACTCTGCAACAATGGTAAATGCAATGATGCACAGTATGTGATATGTGATGGTGATTGCAATGACTGTCTTCCTGGTTTATGTGTAATGCTTTGTTATTTGAAAGCATGATCCGATTTATAAAAATATGTTGACCATAAAACAATATGCTGTATTAGCAGCTCGCTCTCTCCTCTCTCTCTCCTTCCCTCCCTCCCTCCCTCCCTCCCTCCCCAGTACTGGGGATTGAACCCAGGCCCTCACATGGAAGGGCCTTAAGCATTCTTCCACAGAAATACCACCCCCTACCTTCATTTCTCTCTCTTCTTTTCTCTCTCTCTCTCTCTCTCTCTCTCTCTCTCTCTCTTTTTTGGTAAGAGGGATTGAACCCAGGGGTGCTTAACCACAGAACCACATTCCCAGACCTTTTTATTTTTTATTTTGAAACAGGGTTTCACCAAGTCACTCGGGGCCTTGCTAAATTGCTGAGGCTGGCTGAGAACTTGTCATCCTCCTGCCTCAGCCTCCCAAGCTGCTGTAATTACAGGCGTGCACCACTGGGCCCAGCCATGTATCTTGTGTTTCCCTCTCTTAACTTCCTTGTTTTCTCTTATGTCTGATTTTCCCTTGTGTTTTGTTCATTATGAATCTACTTGCAACAGGCTATATACTACACTGTTCACATATACACATCACACAGCCTGGGTGTGTAGTAGCCTGGAGACGCTTTAGTGTGTAAGTACTCTGTGTGATGCTCACATAATGACAAAACCACCTAATTATACATATTTTTATTTTTATTTATTTATTGTGGTGCTGGGGATTGAACCCATAGCCTTATGCATGTGAGACAAGCACTCTACCAACTGAGCTATAACCCCAGCCCTACATATTTTTAGATACTAAGTGAGGCTCGTAACTTTATGGGTAAACGCCTCTACTTCAGGGGAGAAAGCTAATGGGCCTTTAAAAGACTGTTAGTGCACATTCAATGTTGTTCTTCTAGCCAGGTGTGCGGGGACACACCTGTAAACCCAGGGACTCAGGAGACTCAAGCAGGAGTGTTGCTAGTTCTAGACCAGCCTCAGCAATTTAGCAAGAGCCTGTCTCAAAATAAAAAATGCAAAAGGTGGGATCAGTCCCTAGTAGTGTGTGTGTGGGGGGGAGAAATGTGTCTGTTATCTCTCCATTTATAACGTGTGATCTGTGACTTTAAACTGATTGTGCTCAAAAAAGCACACCTTAAATGGAGCATGTTAAAAAATGTGTCCACCCCTGCCTGTGCTTTCCTAGGGATATGAATAGGCTCCCCTGGTAAAATTCCCATGCTTCTGTTGGTTTAGGGAGAGCGCTGCCTTGCAAAAATCCCAGTATATAGAACAGATAGTCAAATGGTTAGGCCGTCAGGGTCATGGGCCCCCATGTAAGGAATACACCATGGATGAGCTGTTGGGAGCATTGCTGTCACTCCTTTGTCCCAGAAAATGAAAGGTGGGGATGTACCCAAATGGGAGTTACAGGAAGGACTCAAACTCAAAGGCTAAAGGATGCAGCCAGTAGCCTTGATGCTTTTTCAATGTCTGCGTAACATGGATTTTGGCCAATGCTCACTCCCGAAAACTATATAAGCCCCTAGGCGAGCACACCCAAATGGTGTCCCGCTATCAGATCCCCTCCCGCCCCACTGGGGTTCTATGTCTTCTCTAATAAATCCTCCTCCACTCACTCTTGCCTTCTGTTGTTGTCTGTGGCTTTCTTCTTCAAAGTTGCAGACAGGAACCCAACAGGAAATTGGCAGTGAGTCCTGGGGTTTGCTGTGGCACTAAGAGCTGCTGGGTAATAATGGGGAAGAATGTGGTTTTGCCCACTGTGACCCTCTGGGCTGATGTTGGAAGGATCACCTGCTGTGCCTAGCTGCTGACACTAAAAGGGGCTTTCTCGCCTGTAGAGGCCTGCAGCCTGCACAGACCCCATCCACCAACAGAAGTTGGAAGTCTAGTTTCAACACAAACTCGGGTTTTTAGTACCTTTACTTGTTGCAGTATTAAATCTTTGTTCATTCCTTTATTTTTTCTGGTTGTGCTTATTGGCTTCATGTCATCAGGAGGAGAGTACATTGTACACAGGAGCAATATCTCAGACCACTTACCCATTGTTAAGTGATGCATGACAGCATGAAAGAAGCTGTTTGTTATTCCTATTTTTAGAATATCAGATTGAGTTCTTTATCCTCCATTCCTGAGACAATGTCTGATTACCTGGCTGTCCTTCAGCAAGAGTCCTGTTAGGTTGGTTTTGCTGGAATCTGACCTTCGTGGTTTTGCATTCAATGACCCACCTCTGTGCTCCTTGGCAGTAAATGTCCACTTGCTCATGTATTCAAAATTAAGTCCAGTCTTTCTCCTGAAAAACCAGCCTCTACCTCAGAGCAAAGCCTGTCCAAGGAAGGGACATCACCTTTGTCCTTGGAAAGACCCACAGAGCACTCCTAGGCACATACCCACCCTGCTAAGTGGTTTATCTACAAATGAGATCTGCTGCGCCAGGTGTCCCTGACTCAGTCAGGCTAGGTGGGGATCCATAGCAACCCCCTAGCAGCTACCAATCAGCATGAGACAGGGAAATACCTGGGATGCCAGATGACCCTCCCAGTAGTTTATGGTGGTTGATAACATGATGGGAAACCATGTAGTTCAGCACATACACCCCTCTTGGCTTAAACCAATCAGTTCAAACGAATCCCCTTCTTGTAGTAACCAATCACCCCTAACAACTTGTTCCCACCATTGAATGTGCTAATCATGTTTTGGAGTTGTTATTTGACTTTCCCGTGGTGTGTGATGATTTGCTAAGAGATGCTATGATGTATGTGGGGGTCCCTGCCTTCTCCAAAGACTGTATAAAACTGCTGCAAACTCTGGGCTCAGGGCCTCTCAGCGTCACCAGTTGCTGTGTGTGCGTGTGGAGGACCGAGCTAGCTCTCAATAAACACCTCTTTGCTGCTTACATTGATCTTGGTCTCTGGTGGTCTTTTGGGGGTCCCGAATTCCAGCATAACACTCCCTAACTGCAGAAGTCCATTGTGGTGATCCCTACATCCACCATGATGCCCTTTCCCCTTGAGTAATCTCTTTCTTACTATATGTAGGATGTTCTAAGAAATATATCATTGCTACAAGATTAATTGTAATGACTGGGCATGTTGGTGCACGCCTGTGATCCCAGCAACTCAGGAGGCTGAGGCAGGAGGATCACAAGTTCAAAGCCAGCCTCAGCAACTTAGTGAGGCTGTAAGCAACTTACAAAACTTTATCTCAAAATAAAAGATAAAAAAGACTGGGAATGTGGCTCAGTGGTTAAGTGTTCCTAAGTTCAATCCCTGGTACCAAAACAAAACAAGAACAATTTGACACCATGCTTTATTTTTATTTATTTATTTTTTTTAAAGAGAGAGAGAGAGAGAGAGAGAGAGAGAGAATTTTTTAACATTTATTTTTTAGTTTTTTGGCGGGCACAACATCTTTGTTTGTATGTGGTGCTGAGGATCGAACCCGGGTCGCACACATGCCAGGCGAGCGCGCTACTGCTTGAGCCACATCCCCAGTGCCGACACCATGCTTTAACAAGTGTCATGAATTTTCTTTTCTTTGACATCTCTCTCCCATCCCAGCCTCAGCTGAGGCCAGAGTCGACTGCTCTGCCAACCTGACTCCTCCAGTGCCTGTCATAGAATGAGCATCTGATTACCCTGAATGGGATTCCAGTATGTGAACAGAAATGGTTGCTGTTGGGCATGCTCCAACACTTCATCTCACATCTAGGAAGCATTATATGTTCTAAATCTTTGGAAAAGACTGGTGTGTTGATTGTATTGAAAAAAAGCCATGCCAGTCAACTGCAAGGCAGACATCTGTCTGAAACCAGATGTGGAGGGGGACAGCTGATCACCATTTAGGGTCTGCTCCCAGCACATGTTCCACATGTTCCAGTGTCTGCTGCTGAAACCAGC